AGATATTTCTGTAGCTGAACACCATTCAGCAGGAGGATGTGTCTAAATACTCTATGTACCAATGAACAGGGGAGTAGATAGACTGTACACCTGGTTCAGAACTTCACACTTGAACTTGGAAGCAAATCATACTACTGACGCTCATTTTCGGTTGAGCTGCAAAAGTCTTTAAATCTCTAGTTCTTGTCTTATTTCAGATTAGGTTTTTACCCAGTTTAGGACAGAAATTGACTTAACAGTTAATTTTTGAATAGTGCAATCTTCTATCAGTAAGGGTTCAGTCAAAACTTTTCAAAACCAGCTGTACTCTACATAACATAACGCTTGCCTTACTTGGTTTTACTATAATTTCTGTTTCTTCTTCTAACAAAGTGTGAAGTTTCAAAACACACCAGCATTCACAGACATTATCATATGCCATATATATCACAGCATGGGAAACCTGTCATATGGGATAAATACAAACACATGTGGTGGCAGTCAAAATAACTGTTTTCATATTGTCTTAATGGCTTTGTAAGTTCTCTAATGGCACCATCACTGTGTGTAAATTATATCATTTGTTTTTTATGCGTTATGTTTCAATACACATTTGTTTACGCGTACTGTTAATGAATGAAAAAAAACATAATTCGTTGTAGGAAGTCTAGTGCAGGATTGTAGGATACTATTTCTTCACCCTTCATTTCACAGCTCTCCACTATTTGTTGCTGATCAGCCACTTGCAATGCAGGCAAACAGTGCAGCCTTTTTCATGCCCAGAAACACTGTGGACACCGAAATGGCCTGCAAAATGTTTTCCACTGCGGATGGGTGATTCGATTCCTCATGTAGCACTGATGGAAACTAGAAATCTTGAAACTTCTATATTTCTATATTGTGCACAAATGCCGTGAAACATTTTTCTTCCGGTCACACAGGAATCGAGACATTCGAAGGAAAGTATTTGCACAGCTGGGAATACCGACATCCCGAGGACTTTCAGGGGAAGAGGGTGGTGGTGATCGGGATTGGGAATTCGGGAGGGGAC